TCCACAGAGACTGAGAGATGGGGTATCTCCTTCAATGTTTGCGTTTCAGGAGATGGTTTCCAGGTCCTTGGGAAAGACATTTCCTGGGTTGTATAACTGGCAAGAGGTTAGGAGATGATTTACATACACTACAAAGGTGCAGAGAAACAATTTATAGTTATACATTTTCTGAAGGAAATGCTATAAGAATAGAGAGGCCAGGGGCCTATGGTCAGGACAAAACCTGTCTTAGACCAAGCCAACTTGGTCATTGGTTGGCTGATTTCCTTTCTAGTAGGCAATCTGGGGATGCTGTTGTATTTGCTTGATGCAACCTGTTGTAGGGGAGGTGTAAGGTATGCCAATAGCTTGATTTATGGTTCAAGCTTGTTCGCCATACCTCACGGGGCATGGTTGTTTTTAGCCATGTGTGTCACTGCCCTGTTTTCTGACCCAATTGCCAATATTCTGAGAACACCCGCTACTGTTGCGTCACTTTTAACCCACTTAGGACCCAGTGCTCTTAGGGGTTAGCTAAGTAATTTCTGGGAGCAGACCTACAGAACTCTAACTGCAGGGCCGCCTGCCAGGTGGCCACTCCTTGCCCCAGCGTCCTCAGGGATGAATTCTCGCTTGTTTGCTGAATGGGGCCCCTCCTCGGGATGCTTTTGAAGTCTCCCGATCTCCACACGTATCTTTACTCCATATGCTTTGTGAAGAGTGCCCCTGTTACCTGCCTCAGGAATGCCGCAAGCCACCCCTTTATGTGGCTTCCTCACCGTCACCTCCTACATACCTCTTACTGTCCTGCAGAGTAATTCTGTCAGCATCACACAGAAACTGCCAATGACTTCAAAATGCAAAAAATAATGGGATAATTTTAGAGCTTAATCTTACCTGAGCCCTCTCCATGTTTGTCTGTGTTTGTCAGTTCCTTCTTCTAGAACCACTTGCCTCTCTTGCCTTTCATTACACTGTATTTCGGTGTTAATTTAACGGGAATAAAAAAGTAATATTGAATTTGTGTTCAGATTAAATGCTCCTTAGTGAGAGAAGTCTTCTCCGATCAGCCAACCTGAAACGGCAATCTCTGACTCTATCATTCTCTGCTTTAGTTATTGCCATGGCACAAATTGGGACATGCCATATTATGAAGTCATTTATTTGTTTTTCTTTTCTTTCGCTCACACTAAAATGTAAGCTCCCTGAGAACATGGTTTTTGTCACTTTTGTTCACAGCACCTAGACTAGCGCTGAGCCTTAGTGGCTGTTTGCTGAAGATCAAACAGATGAGTGAATATTGTGGAGGTTGAGTTGGGGAGAAGCCTAGAGGAATTTCAAAGTGTGATGCAGGTGATCATACCCAGCGACTTTTTACCCTTTCTCATGAGTGTTGTTGTGTTCCCAGTAGTATCTGACTGTCAGAATTTCTGGCATCACTCTTTAAGCAACATGCAGGTAAATGGGAATTTTTTGAAAGCTAACTTCAAAAAATGAAATTGAAAATAAAAGTCCTGTTAATAATAATTTATGGAGATTGAATACATTATATATTTTGATCAATATGTGAAATCTATATTTTTCCCACAGCAAATACACCTACTATTTCAGCAATTTTGTAAAATAGAATATAAAGTAGATTGGGTTTTGTAATATGATGCAAGGTGAGCTGTAGTTTGCTAAAATTAAGACATATTGAGTCATAAGTTATTGTCAAGTTATAGCCAAAGAAAGTCAGAGATTTGTCAGAACATTTTAGAAATTTGCTTCTTGATTGTAAAAGAACATTTTCAGGAAAATAAGCAGTTCTGTTTGAACAGTGATTATTTACGTTCTTAAGTTTAGTAACAATACATATTTATATACTGATAAAAAATGTGAAATTTCAATCAAGAAGGATTTGGGAGTAATAGTGTGTTGTTCAGGACACTGAAAAGTCTATGGAGAGAAAGAATATAGATTTCCAACGGAAGATCACTGGCAAGCATTTCTCAAGTAGGCTTCTTCTCTACAGCTGATGTTACAAGGTAGCCCAGAAAATCTATAGATACCTAAAATTACCTTCTGAAACAGAATGTCAGTCTGCTCTGGGAAAGACTGTTCTCTGTGATAGCTTTCACAAATCACCTTTTCCAAAGGAATGGTGAATCTTCTCAATGGGTTTCTTCCTGGCATTAAAAGAACTTAATGACATTGACAATATAATGGGATGAAATTTTACCTATTTTTGACTACAGACAATAAATTGGTGATATGGTCTAAAATGGATCTTACATGATTGAGTAATAAAGGACATCTTAGTGTGGCGAGCAAAATAAAGTGGAACATTATGAACTCAGAAAAGGAGAGTTGAAAGAGGTGCGTATTGATGCTCATCAGAAAAACCCTCTTCTGAATTCAGAAGTGGACTAGAACCAACAGGTAGATGTTCTAATCCACTTCTTGAAGGAGTCTTCCTAGGTAGGTGAGATGAGTGGTTATGAGATTATTCTTGTGATGCTATGATGGGCAATAAGTAAATAAATAGATAAGTAGTTAGTGAAATCCTCTGACTTCCTTTGAATAAGCTCAAAAAATATATCTGTTTGTCAGTTGAAACAACCAGAAACATAAGACCACTGTGGGCCACTATCCAGACTGACATGAAGCTAGCAAGTGAATTCCATTGGCCCAGGAGGGTACTGATGTGTCCTGATTGATGAAATAGGCACATATTCTAGATTTTGATTTGCATTGTTGGTAATGGAAACAAATGCTTCAAATATCATCAGAGGATTAGAACAGAAAATATTTTAATTTGGACTCTGTGTTTATATATCCTCATATCAAGGGACCCATTTTACTGTTTTATACCATGAATAAAAAAGGGATTAATAAATAATCTGGAGTGATTAATCCCAATTACCCAAAGAGAAATTAAATTGCTTCTATAGAATGGAAACAAGTAGACTGTGTTGGAAACACAGGGTATTCTCTGAAGGACCTCTGAGTATTTCCATGTCCAATAGTAAAGGTTGATAGAAAACTATACCAATGAAAAAAGATGCTAAATCCTTAGCAGGATGCTAAATCTTTAGCAGGATGAGTGAGAATTCAGAGCCTTTAGGAATAAAGGTTTTGAATACTCTACCAAGCTTTGACAGAGTTGGAAGATATATAGTAGATATCAATCATGAACTTGTGAACAATTATAGACATTAAAGCTAGTAGCTATGAATGTTTTTGCTTTTTATATTTAAGCTTTTATTTCTTATGCTAACCATTTCCTTTTCTCCCTTTTCCATTGTAATTTTATAAATAAATTATTAGAAAGTAACTTTACAATTTAGTCTTTCGGTAACAGAAGATTCAGTGGGACCATGACTGAATTTAAGGAATAGGTAATACATCCAGCAATGCATACAATGACTGTTGGGACTGTGCATCTTGTTATTTTGGGAAAAAGTGAGAATTCATTTTTGTACAAAGAACAGCTGTATCTTTTAAAATAGAAATGTGGAGTTGTTTTACTGTTGTATGAGAATTCAGATGTGTAGAAAAGGGTATATATGGAAGTTGAGTAGTCAAAGGTGTGAACTGTGCTGGTGATCAACTTATTGTGACTAAGCTAAAAACTCATGCTTTTTGCCTTGCTCTGTGAAAGGGGATCTGGGCCCTTTAAAAGCCTTTGTCAGCTGGAATGATGCTCAACTTTGTTACTGGAAAAGACTGGAGAGACATTGCAAGAAGAAAGTGATGTTTTTTGTTTTTTTTTTGAATTGAGGTGAAATTTCACATAACCTAACATTCATCATTTTAACCATTTTGAAGTGGCTTCCAGTACATTCACAATGTTGTGCAGCTCTCACTTCTAGTTACAGAAATTTTCAACACCCTCAAAAGAAGCCCTGTACCCATTAAGCAGTTGTTCTCCATTTTTCCATTCCCTTCTCCCATGGCTATCACTTATCTGCTTTCTGTCCTTATGGATTTGCCTATTTTGGACATTTAATATAAATGGAATCATAAAATATGTGTCTTTTTCTGTCTGGCTTCTCTCAGCACAATATTTTCAAGGCTCGCCCCTGTTGGAGCATGTGTCAGTTCTCCTTTACTTTTCCTGGCTGGATACTATTTCATTGTATGTATACATCACGTTTGTTAATCTATTCATCAGGAGATGCACGTTTGGGTTGCTTTCATTTTTGGTATTATAATGTTGTTATTAACGTCCATGTGCAGATTTTTGTGTGGAATATGTTTTCAATTTATTTTGGGTATCTACCCCAAATTGCTGGGTATATGGTAACTCTTGTTCAATCACTTAAGAAGCTGCCAGACTGTTTTCTAAACAGCTGCACCAGTTGACATTCCCACCAGCAGTGTAGAAGCTCACGGTTTCTGCTGTTGCTTTGGTCCCAGTGCTGCTTCTAAGAGGTTGTTCTCCAAGGTGAAGTCATATGCAAACCTCCTGAGGTCATTTTTCAGACCATGGTCTGGGACATTTCTGTGATATACAGGATTCAGCAGACCTATGCGTCCTGACTGACTGTCTCATGAGTGAAGTGTTTATTAAGCATCTGTTATGTGCAGAATTGTGTACTCGGCTAAGAGAAGGGACAATATGAACATGAGTAAGTGTCTTTCTACTCAGAGGTGTGCATTTTTGTTAGATGTGCAAATGATAAACATTAACTTAGATTTATTTAATTGGTTATTTGGAACAACTTTCTAGGGCATTTTCTAGGGCCTTTTTCTTCTTTTCCTAGGAAGAAAGTTTACCAGCCAATTAGATGAATTTTCCCATGTGTATATCATATCCCAAAGCACGGTAGCTGTGTATGAGAGTGTCAATGTCTGGTGGCAACCATGGCTATAGATACTTCTTTTTTACCCTCACTTACTTCTACTTATAGGAAGTTCCATTATAATTTTCATATTCCTATTTCTATTAGTGAGGCTATATAGTTTTAGAGATGTTATTGGCTATGTTTTTCAAAGTTTACAATCCAAATCTACTCAGAGCTACAGCCTCTTTCTTCTTAATATTTATATGGCCTTATGAAGCTGAGGTTACTCGGTGGACAATTCTTCAGCCATCCAAGTAGCCTCTGGAAGCCCATTCTGAGCTCGTGCATCCTGAGAGCATAGACCATGGGGTTGAGAGCAGGGGGCATGACATTGTGCAGCACGTTAAGGAGCACAGGGATAAGGGGAATCTTTTCTTCTACAAGGTGTGTGACAGATAGCACAAGGAGACCTGTGTAGAAGAAGAAGATGAGGATGAGGTGGGAGCTACAGGTGCTCAGGGCCTTGGACATCGCCTCTGCTGAGTTCAGCCTCAGCACAGTGCGAAGGATTAGAGCATAGGAAGAAAACACCAAAGCCATGTCACTCCCAACTACAATCCACCCTAAGAACAGTTGGTAAAATTTGTTCACAGTGATGTCATCACAAGCCAGGCTGATAACCCCCAAGTTAGAGCACAGGCAGTGGTCAATTTTGTTCTTGGAGCAGTAGAGTCTTTGGGCAGCCAGTACAGGCACTGGGATGGTCAGCAAGCCATTTCTGAGCACCATGAATCCTGTGACTTTGACCATAAAAGCTTCAGTGACTATGGAGGGATACTGAAGAGGGTGACAGATGGCTATGTATCTGTCCACTGCCATGCAGAGGAAGATACCAGATTCCATGCCAAAGAAGCAGTGGATGACATACATCTGAGTAAAACATTCAGGGAGACTGATGGCCTTGGCATCAAACCAGAAGATAGCCATAATCTTGGGCATGATGGTGGTGGCCAAGCCAATATCCACGAGTGCCAGTATGCCCAGGAAATGGTACATAGGCTCATGAAGTGTGGGCTCATGTTGGATGGTGGTCAAGATGAGGAGATTGGCAGCAAGAGCTGATAAGTATAGCAGAGCCAGGGGCAGGGAGAGCCAGTGCTGCCAGTCGTGAATGCCTGGGAGTCCCATCAAGATGAACTGGGAGACCTGGAGGCTGGAACTGTTGGTAACACTGGTGGAGGTGTCCATGGCCGAGGTTCCCTGTTCTCAGTGTCTGTCCATAAACCTGAAAAAGGAAGGAGGTTACGTTTGAAAGTTCAGCTGAGGGTCCTAATTAGAGTCTCCCACCAATAAACCAGTTTCTTTTAAGATGAATGACCCTCAACTTTTTTTTTTTTTTNCGTTTGAAAGTTCAGCTGAGGGTCCTAATTAGAGTCTCCCACCAATAAACCAGTTTCTTTTAATATGAATGACCCTCAACTTTTTTTTGGCTCCAGGAAATATTCCACAGTGAAGCAATAAAGACAGCCAAAATTATTTCTAAATAGAAAGGTTAGAATAGCTATTTGTCATCACCACTTGTATGCCTAATAAGCACATCCAAATACATAAACAATAATCTAATCACCAACAGATAACAGGTATTAAGATTTGTTTTACTCACTTCCATTTTTCTGTTTTATTAAGCAGTTTTCATCATACAGAGATAATATTATATCTGGCCTTTTTCTTCAAGCAATATGTTTTAAGACATAAAATTAGTACTCAGCAAAAATTTACTGAATGAATAAATAAGTAAACCATGACTTTCCAGTATGATTAAAAGCAATGTGGAGTCTTAATTTTAATGACTACTTTATAATCCTATATTTGACTATTTCATAAGTTATTAACCAATATTTTACTTTTCAGATTATTCCCTTTGAGTAGAATTTGAAAAATGATACAAAAGTGATACATACAAAGCTCATAGCCATCTTAACATTTTTAGTAGTATTTTGATATTATTTTAAATATCATACATGTACATGTTAGAAATGTAAACATAATAAAAAATATAATCCCATGCTTTAGATCCCCAAATTCCTTTTTTTTCACTGAAGACAGCCAGTAACAATTTCTTGGGAATCCTCCCAGAGATAATTTTTGCATGGACAAGAATATATATACTATTTTCCCATAAAAGACAAAATCAAATGTTAGCATACCAATCATACCTCTCTTAGCCTTTGTTTCCTTGGCTTTTCTTTTCTAGCTTCATTCTCTTGAAGACTCTTCCATATCACTATATAGATATACCTCATTGTTGTTAAGTTGCATGGTTTTCTCCCACATGGATGTCCAATATTTTTATGAGAACTTTGAGGAACATTGGTATTTCCAGTATTTCCTACTGTAAAAAAAAATTCAAAAATGCATTTGTTCACATATCTTTAAGGATACGTTTAAGTTTATCTATAGGATAATTGCCAAGAAGTGAATTGCTGGATGAAATGGCAAAAATGATTTTTACTGATTTTTTCAAATATTCTTTCCAAGAGGTTTTTCTGGTTCTGTATGATAGTAGGGCATTTCTAATACTCTTGACGTACAATGAAACGCTGCTTCATAGGTACATTCTAGTACTTTACACACCCAGAATTTGTTCATGAGGATGTCTATTTCATCATATCTACTCAATGATTGGAAATTTTAATTAAAAAAATTTGTTAACAGAATAAGTAAAAATTGAAATTTCAATTTTGGTTCACTTTTCCCTTTATTATTTATTAAACACTTTCAAAAGTTTATTTTTCTCATTTATATACTTAGTCAGTATTCTCTTTTTGCTTTATATTCAACTCTTAGTGTAGTATTAAATGAAATAATGTTTTGCAAGGGCTTAGCATGGACTCTGGCAGTATACCTTATTAATTTGCATGAGTTTCATTGTGTCTTAGAAATATTGCCTTTATCTGTTGAATTTTCTGGAAATAGTTTCTCCTATTCATTTCCATTAAAAATGTATCCTTAAAAAATTGCACATGTGGGTACACTTAAACTTTTACTTATTCATAACAAGGACACTCTTAAAATCAATTATTTCACGATTTTTAAGCTTTAAATAATGTAAATAGGAGCATTTTAATAAATATTTACTTGCATTTTCTTTAAAAATTTTATTTTAAAATCAATTTTGTAACTAATTTGAGATTAGACATGGAGTGAGAAAAATCCCTAAATCAATTTCACCCACAAATAGCTAAACGATTGTTCCAGCACCATTTAGTAAAAAAGGCTTCCCCTCCCCATTAATTCACAATGTGCTTTTTTGTCAAATATTAAATACAAATACATATTCAAGGTTTATTGCTGACTGGACAGTCTTCTCTGTTTTTAGTTCCAGTACCAATTGAGTGAGTGTATTTACCTTTGGCAGGGAAGAGTCTTACTAATAATTTCAAATTATTTTTTAAATAAAAGGACTGGTTGTCATAGTTTTGAGTATAAATGTAAAACATAAATTAATTGTGTGATAACTCATTTTTACCCCACTGAATCTTTCCCTTTAGAGATGTGTTATGCCTTTCTGTCATGGGCATTTTTGGAATTTTTTCATTACTATTACTTTTTTATCTTATTATATTTCCTGATTGGCTATTATTACTTTAAAACACCTTCTGATGATTATTATTTTTTAAAACATTTCACAAAATATGGCTATTTTATACTACCCAAAGCAAACTGCTTTTTAGAAAATTCTCAGAATTTCTTTCGGTAAAAAAATGTACTATTATGAGGAGAATTTTGAGTAGAGTAAGCTCTGATTTTTATTTTCATCTTATTAAAGTGTTTATAATTTTCTAAACTACATAAAGAAGCACCGATAGACTCATAGATACAAAGAACGGACTGATAGTTGCCATGGGATTTGGGGGATGAGTGAAAAATGTGATGGGACTGAGAAGTACAGATTGGTAGTTACAAAATAGTCATGGGAATGTAAAGTAAGCATAGAATATAGGCAGTAATGTTCTAATAACTATGTATGGTACCAGGAGGGTACTGGAAATATCAGGGGGAATCTTTGTAAGTATGATTGTCTAACCACTATGCTGTACACCTGAAACTAATACAAAATAATATTGAATGTAAATGTAATCAAAAATGTTAAAAAATTAAAAAGAGAAAAAAAGAGCACTGATTGTCAACATCCTTGTCTGGGCTGGATTTTCAGTAGAGTGCCTCTCGAGCTCTCTCCAGTGGGGTGCTGGGTAATGCTTTTCAGATAAATGGTCTTCATTAGTGTTGGTGATTTAATGTCTAGTTTTAGTTCTTGATTTTATTTTTGAATCAGAAATGAGTGGCTTCAATCACTATCACTTCTCTGGGTCTTGGATCTATAATTTAAACAGAGGCTATGATGCTTCCACCATTCTGTCAGCCAACTGACTCCCTGCTTCAGGCTTTATGACAGTTGCTTTTTCCTCTGGTAGAATTTTCTGTTCTTTCTAACTTGGCCAGAGGAGAGCTCTGTCTCATTTTCCTACTTGTTCTCCAGATCTTGGGCCTTTGTCTCTGTATAGGTGAAGATCTTGAGGGAAATGAGAGCCAGTGCTCAAAGGTTTAAACTAAGGAAGCTGAGTGAGAAAGCCCAGGCTGGGGGAGAGAACCAGGACCCAGAGCCAGGAACACAGAGCAAGGAAACTGCCTCTTCCACTCACCTGGGGCCCTGGTGACTCCCTGCTGGGAGGTCCTGGAGAGATCCTCTGCGAATGGAAGGAACTGCCTCTGCGGCTGCTTCTACTCTCTTGGCTGCACCTCTCTTTTATTCCATTGCTGCTGAGAATACGTCTTCTCCTCTACCCCAGGGCTTGGGCTGTTGCACAGATTGGAGCCCGAGTTACCCTGGACCTTCTCTGCCACTTTCCAATACCTCCAGGAGGCTCTCTTTAATCTTTTTTCCTGTGTGCATCAAGGCTTGTTGTTTTTGTATCTCAGCTCCAAAAGGCCCCCAGATCTCAGGGGTGTATCCACCTCAGCTCAGGGAACAGAAGTCCTCAGCCCCAGGCCCATGGGAACCACTATTAGATGGTCATCTCTGTCTTGATGAAGGCTTAGGAAGACATGTCCCTCCTCTAGTGTGAATCCCTGAACTCCTGCTCCTCCCCCCAACACATATACTTTTCTTTAGCCTTTTCAGGAACTATTTTCCTCAGTTGCGTCCTCTGTGCTTTATCTTTTACTGCTTCCTTTTCTATGAGTTCTCTCTCCCATATATAAACATAAAATGCAGATGCCTCTGCTGCTCGAAACCTATTTGTTCCTTTAGATGAACTTTGCACCCTGCTCTGTACCCATAGATGTTAAAGTCTATGTCGTCTGGCTTATGGTTGGATTTGGCTAATGGGAGGCACTGGTGGGAGTTCAGAGGGCAACAAGAAAGACAAGTTGAGGGATTTATTTCTCTGAACCTTTCCCTATCAGCCCCAGTGTCTGTGTTCCTCTCCTGAATGCCTCCTGCCCCTATCAGGTGGTTCCCTTACAGCTCTTGTCAATACAGGTCAATACTGGTAGCTGTTTCTTTCCATCACTCCTCAGATCTGTGGGATGGCAATGGCTTTTGGGGTTGCCAGCCCAGGTATATTTCACCTTCCCCTTTTTGGTTATTATTATTATTAAACTCTTCCCATATTTTTGGAATATTCTTAATTTTACTCTCCTCTATGTCCCCTTTTGCATGTGCCATCTGTTTCCTGCTGGGACTTTGACCAAGATGCCTCCTCATCTCAAATG